ACGGCCCACCTACGGTACCAAGCACGGGCTCGAGGTAGCGGTGGTAGAGCGGGATCGGGGAGGACACGCGCACGCGCGAGCAGTTCTACACCTCGACGCCCCGGAGCGGTACTGGGTGACGATCCAGTACCGACGGGCGGAGGCGGAGCCGGCTCGTGGGCGTGCTGCGCGCGTCCTCAACCCGCGCGCGGTACTGCTCCTAGGTAAACGGACGGAAAGACCTGAGAGTAACCGGGCGGACCAAGGTGGAGGATCCTTGACAAGTCCCTGCTTGTCCCCCGTCCACCGCCGGCGGTCCGCTCATATTTAATGTACACAATTATCTATGATAACACTACAGTACCGATGTACTGTAGTGGGCTACCGTAGTGCAGGTCGGCCTGCACTCGGGGCTGACACTACACGTGTGCGCGCGCCCCCGTACACGGGGGGTACACGTGTGCGCGCGGGCTGAGGTACTGTAGAGCTCGGGCTCTACAGCTGCAAATCTAATCTAAATCTAATTCCGGGAGGGGGATATGCTACATCGACTTGGGATTCCTTTACATCTCTGTGATCAAGCGTCCTCTACCTTGTTTCCTAATACATCCACACTTTCTCGGTTCATTCCCTCTCCGTCAAATTTCTTCCATAGCCTAATTGGCATCTTCGATCTTCAGCTAGGATTGTCGCACACTGCGGCCGCTGTTCGCAATTTCCGACATGTCCCCCCGAAAATTGAAGAAGCGCAGCTCTTCTCCTCCGAAAGCCGATGCGGAGGGGAAGAAAAAGATCCGTAGGTCGCCGAGGTCACCTAGGCCACCGTTATCCAAATCTCATCACCCGAATAAGAGCATTGTGATGATGTCCGCGGTGAGGCCACCTCGACACACAAAAATGCGCAGGAGATTGGACTTTGCAGAAGAAATCGGAGAAAGAACGGAAACCGATGGGAACACATCAAGTGAAGAAGCAGTCGAGATCCCGCTACCTCCTTTGAAGTCAATTCGAATCAACATTGACACAAGTCGAGCAAGAACTACATGGGTGTGATAAAAAAGAAGACTCAAGGAAAGAAGACTCAAGGAAAGAAGACTCAAGGAAAGAATACCCAAGGAAAGAAGACCCAAGGAAAGAAGACCCAAGGAAAGAAGATCCAAAGCAAGAAGACTCAAGGAAAGAAGACAAATACGAAGAATACCGCCATAAAACCCTCCGAAGAAGAGATAGACATGATTTCTTCGGGCTCTTCGGTTGAGGTAATAGACGGGAACGACAAGTCCATCACTCCCGTCAGCGACCATTCGAGGCCCCCCCAAAGAGATAATTCGAGTAGCAGTTCTGTCCTCTCGTTCAAAACTCTCAATGGACACAGTCAGTTTCTAACAAAAACTGACTGCGAAGAGATATTGAAGCAACCCCATGCTTTCATCTCTTCGGATGCTCTTTTGTGGTTCATGTCTTCGGTGGGGCTCAGCAAGTACGATCCGGCCAAGCATTATTTATTCGATCTCATCCATCGCTCAAGTGCATACATGTGCGGCCAAGGTGGACCTTCCATGCCCCTAGGCTACTCTATGAGTCCGAAGACGGCAGAAGCAGTTCTCAAAAAGGATGTCGCTGTCTACGTGCCACTTCACTTTCGACAGCACTTCTCCCTGGTCGTCATCGAGGGTCTTTCTCAATTTCTATCATGCGTCGAGAGGGAAGCCTGTGAATGCTCGCCTCTGAAAGCTATCAAAGCTTGTCATTATGACAGCCTCGCTCTCTACACAACACATAAAATAGGCGTTGTGAAGAAAGCTGTGTCAAGGCTGGTTCAAGATTGTCTTCTTTCAATTAGACTCAATTCCTCGGAGTCGAATATCGAAGCGCACATTTCGATATCTCGCATCACAAAAAAGAAGGATCAGCCGTCCGGCCATGTGACTTGTGGACCATTTGTCGCACTATACTTCAGGCAACATCTGCACAACATTCCCTTGCAATCAAACAAGGAGGAGAGGAGAGAACTGCTGCTGGAAATGCTACACAATCTTCAGCACGAAGTGGCGTTGAAATACGACTCCTTCCTCATACGCAAGGGTGTCTCAAAGCCACAGCGCAGTCCGACTGCTGGGAAGCGCACACGCAAATGCTCGTTAGATTCCAAACGTCAAAAAGCACCGTCGTGCCCTTACCCTTCCTTCTTCGAGAAATACCGCATGCGGTATTTGCCGAAACGCTTTCTACTATCGAAGACCGAATGCAGTCTGTTCTTGGTTGTGCAGTTGGTAGTGCCACTCTGAAAGGCGTACAGAAGCTTTTTTCTTTCTCCAATCAATGCTTTGCTGCATCTCACGGATTAGCGCCCCCTGAGGAGATTAAATTGGCCTCTTTAAAGGATCTTGATCATGAGCCCGAACAGGAAGAGGCCATTGTTCTGGAAAAGCAAAACAAAGATGAAGCATTGAAGAGAATCGAAATTGATCTTAAAGAAGACTTCCGAACTCAAGTTCGGAAGAAGACGAATGAAGACAGAAGAACTCAAGTTCCGGAGAAATCGAGTGAAGGCCTGGAATCATCGAAATCGTTCAGTCCGGAACTGTCGGTGACGATTAGTGACTCTGCTCCCACTATGGTGAGGCCCCATGAAACATTTTCACCAAATGATGTCATATATGTACCATGAGTCTTTGAACTCCTGTTCAGTGTGCTGCATTTCCGCCACCTAGAAGCAAGAAGGTGCAAAACGGCGTGTTCAAGAAGGGACCACCTATTTTTCTCGGGAGCCTCTAATTCCTTCTTGCAGTGGAAACAGTACGGTTGGATGACCTCAAACATGTCGAAATCAGACGTTTTCAGACTCGAGCGTTTGCGAGATGCAATTGTTCTTGGAAGTATGAGAATTGCGTCTATTCCTCATGTTGCGTGTATTGAAGTGGTGAATATTCCGAAAAGAAGAAAGGATGCAACGTTTCCGTTTCAATACAGTTCCATCGGCCAGACAGTTACGGACAACCCTGGGAGAGCAGTCTGTTGGGCTGGGAACGTGCTGGAAATCCATAAAAGCCCACAATCGTACTCGTACCCGATCTGGAAAACTTCTTCGTCACTTGCAATCGAGGAGATATGCTTTCCAACTGACAGAAGGGATGGTAAGCTTTCAACTTCGAACCTGATAGAAGTGGAGGTGTCGTACAAATTGGTATGGAGCCCTAGTAAAAACGAGTCCCTAAGGATTCCAGAGGACGTACTTTTGACTTCATGGAACTAGACTTCGTGGCTCTTTCGCATCTTGACAAGAATGCAACCGAAACGCGTCTCGGGATACAGTTGGAAAACCCCACGCATGTTCAGCAAAACGCAGAAACTCGAATAGTTCGAGTTACCATCCTAAACAACGAAGAAGGTGGTTTGCAATTCGCCGGTTTCCATAATTTACTCTCGTTCTCGAAGAATAGGGACATGGAAAGCAAGCTTTTCATCCAAAAACTTGGAACCGAAAGCATCCGTCAATCCTCGAAATCGTTCATTGCAATATGAAAGGGTTTTTTCATATTGGATCGCTTCAAGATTCTTGGATTGTCGGACCCGTCTTCTCTCGTTTGCTCGTATACGCAGATATTTTGGGACATAGTTTTGATTGTTCAATGGCGCTTGGTGCAGGAAAATGCAAATAAGCATTGCTTAACCATACGAAAAGCATTAAATCAAACCAGCGTTCAACATCGACCCGTTTTGTCAGTCAACCCCTGTGTTGTTGCCAAAACAGTTCTCCGGTATGCCCGTGAGTCGATTTTTAAGGTCCTCTGGGCTATGAAAACTACAGTCAACTACAGTCAGCTACAGTTTCTTGTGTCGTGGTGTTCTCATGTCACAGCATACTACCCACTGGCAACTAAATGTTTACTTGTTAACCGGGGATCAATGTTTACCCCGTGGAAAGTAAATGTTTACTTGTTGACGGATATTTGGACTGGACAGGCGGAGTGCTGTGATAGGTTGCAATACTTTGAGTTTTTCAAAAAATTCAATGGCTTCTTTTGCCCCTACTGTAATTGAGTTTATTCAGAATTGTATTAAAATCACGGTGCATATCGCGTATGATAAAAAACTTTATTTACAACCAGGGAGAACCCGCAGGCAGACGATGATGGTTGAGTACCTTAAAAAGTAAAACTTTCAATTCCGCACTATGGTAAAGGGGGGTTGCTGGTGTTGTCGGACAGTGACAAAAAAATCGGACATGCAAAATATTTTGAAAAATATCTCCGACACGGGCCAAGGAGCACCGCCGCGCGTAACGGCGCCAGATAGTGCGCCGTATATCAGAACGACGTGGTTGAAATTAAAGAAAAAATCTCAATCGATTGCTTACGGCTTTCTACGTATAAGTGTGCAACAACCCAAAAATACAAAATAGGCAGACTTTTCTATTTTTTATTTATTTGCTTGGATGTCCGATCTTAGTGCTCGGTTGAGGTGCAAAAGTGTCCGCGCGCTTCACAATCTCACTCCTCTTCTGTGTCCGTGGTTGTTTTCGCCAAGTCCCAGTGGACGACAGGCTGAGAGTGTCCCCGTCGCAAAACATAAAAAATGGTGATTGCTTGACAATTACAAGTACTTTTTCCTTTTAATATTGAGGTTTTTGTCCGACGTCTCCAGCACCCCCCCTTTACAGTAATATCGCAATATTTGGAAAAATGGCGCGGGCGTGGGACATCTGGATCTATGGACTGTAGAGGAAACTGAGCGATGATAGCCACACTGTAATGGTTAAGAGGAAAGAGAGCCAAGTGGAATACTGTTGGCCAATACCGCTACTTTACAGAGGCGTATTTGATATCTTCTGGCTCTACCGTTCCTCTGGCAGCCCGCCTTTGAAAATATCTCGGCTCTCGCTTCGCACCTGCACCACCAGTCGTTCTCCTATGCATCTTTTGCATCGCTTCGAGTCAAGAATTCGTTGCTGGCACCAGCCAAGACTAGAGTGCATTGACTCCGCCCTCCTCTTGTCGACAACTGTTGACCCCGGCATCCCCCGACCTCGTCCCCCTGCTTTCCGCTGACTAATCCGCCATGACCACTGCCTTCGCAACTCCTTCTGTCCTTCCCCGCGCCCCCCCACACAACCCACGCACTTGCTGTCGCACCCGCCCCACCCCCCGCATGGGGCCGTGGAAGGAGGGTGAGAAAGACGAGGCCTTCCGCCAGCAGCAAGAAATTTTGGCCCGCCGCCGCGACCCCAAGCGCAACAAGAAGTACTTTAAGGAAGTCAACGACCGCCGTGACGAAGTTGAACAGTTCTTTGACGAACGCACCCTCAAGGTCAAGGCAGGCGATGACCCCCTTATTGCGTGGACCGAAATGAAGGAGAATGGCTTTATCGACGAGGGCGGCTACACAGAAGAGGATGAAAGTGGCATTCCCATTCCCATGGCCAGTTTCGGAATTCCCAAGTACGACCGAGGAGCTCGCTTCGACCTCAAGTTGCCCCACGTCGAGATTGGGTACACCGATCCGGACGCTGATGTCATGTCAAAGGTGGGCAACGCATTTAAGAATGTTTTTGGATTTGGGAAGAAGGATGCTGATGACGAGGGCGCGTCTAAGTAGGCAGCTCAATGCCGTTTCGGGTGCAAACTAGCATAGCGGGTGTCAATTTGTAGACTCCCACTCCTTGTCATATAACAATGTATTCGGGCTGCAGGCACAAAAGGTCACATCTCCTTTCGAATGGCAGCTACCCACTCAATTATCCATCCCAGTTTCACTGCGACTGTACACCCATGCGTTCTAGTTATCTCATCTCGGGGGATGCGTGATTTTTCTTTTGGCTTTGCACAATCTACTGTCCTCAGGCGAATTTCACGCGTTGAGAGTAATTAAATCAACGCGACGCGGTTTGGTAATCCCATCTCTTTGAGAGTATTCGTTGTACGCACCGTTCTCCACTTCAAAGCAATTGCTCCCTTAGCGCTTTCCCTTCTTCTTTTTCTTCGTCGGCGCTGGTGCCCCCTTACCGGTAACTGTCTTCTTACTCGCGCTGGCACCGCCACCCTTGTTGCCACCCTTCTTTCCTTCTTTCATCATCACTTGTTCGCGGTGCTTAGGGATCAGTTCCGCGACTTTTGCATATAAAGTGCGTCCTGAATTTTGTAAAAAGTCGTCCGCATGTGTACAGCAAAACCGAAAATGCGCTTTCTCGTTAGTATATCGGTGTCAGCGTCCATTGCCAGATTACGTCGTCGCATTTGATGTGAAGGAACACTTACGGTTTGGGATGTCCTCCCGCACAGGCTTCCCGACCTCGTCGAATAATTTGATTCGCACCAGCCCTCTCGCCCAGGAGTCTCGACAATACGCCTTGTTCAGTGCCAAGGCCGTCTGAAACTTGAGCAGTTGTGCGCAATCAAACACTTCCTTTATCGTCGGGTTTTCAACGCACTTATCTTTCGCGATTTTGCGACCCTGGTTCACGCACAACACGGCAACATCTGTCAACAATCGTAGAAAGACCTGCACACAAGCAGCTATTCAACGACGTGCTAAGTTTGCATCGCATCACTTACCTGGGCTTCCGTTCGCAATTTGTCGAGGTAAGGCGGGTAAATCACCACCCATCGTCGTGGATCCACGTCCGGGCCATAATCCTCCGCAAACAGCAGAGCCGGTATCTTAGACATGTTGCTGGACTGTCTCACTTCGCGAATAACACCTTCGGATTGCAGTCGAATCCTCCGACTCAGCCAGAGGCACTTGCTTCCAATAAAAGTATGTAATCCCCGTGGTGTCAACGGTGAAAACAACTTGTTAGATACGCTTCTAACCAACTATTGGGCTCTGAGCGCTGTACAGGTCGAGACAAGCTGCATTCCTAGCAAGCGATGATGATTGAAATGAAATTAATAAAAATTTATCCCCTCTGGAACCCCCCACTGTGCTGCTACACTCACAACTTTCGGGCATGCACCTTCAACTCCGCTCAGATGCCGAAGGAGAACTATCAAGTGTTTGGGGCGTGGCACATAACATTGTGAGGATCCTTGGACTGCAAGTCTTCGGAATTATTCGCCTCACCTGGCCGTGGCCACTTGTACGGATATTTTCGACAAGCTTTTGAGGGCGCGGGTCCACTTGCCAAGGGAGGAATTTATTCTGATGGCTACAACTGCCGGAAGCACCGGAGGCAACGAAGAAGTTTCATATTTGCGCGAACGCGATGAGCTCTTTTGGACGGAGCTCGAGATTCGAAGAATTGGAAACCTCATTGCTGAAGGCATTCAGGCACGCCGCTATGTGGGAGACACCGCTTCCGCCGAAGGTGAACGAAAGCTCATGCGCGAGTACATCGAAGCAATGAAGCGAAAGTCAATGCGAGTCTTGCACAGAGCGGAACTTTATGCGAAGAGCGGGCATGCATCGTGGCCTGGCATTGACCCCACGATCACGGATCCAGTCAGTCTGGCAGAGGAGTACGTTCACGTCGTGGAGAACTACGAGGCCGTTTTGATGGAAGAAGAGTCTAGAGCAAAGCTCGTGAAGGAGAAAGCGGTTGGACCCGGTGATGACAGTAGGGAAAGCGAGGCAGTGAGGAAGCTTGCGACGGAAGAGGAAGACTGGGAAGCGGCCGATGACGTTGCCTATCGGGAAGCGCTCAAGCGTGAGCAGGTACTGACGAGGGACGCCGATGATGCCCGGAAAGAGCTACTCGGTGAGAGTCAAGGCATGCGAAGGAGAAAGGGTGAGGCCGGACCGTCGTCGGCAGCATCGTACTCCAAGGAAGATGAAGAGTTGATGGCTCGCCATCAGCCTATCCAGGACGAATTAACTTCTAACTTGGTCGGCCTTGTCGGCCAGCTCAAACAAAGCATATCGGCAAACAAGGGCAAGCTGGAGAAAGACAGCATAGTTCTCGATGAAACTGAAGAAGCTGTCGATAAGAACCTAGCAGGTACATCAAAGCAACGTGAAGAACTGAAGACTTATTCTAAGTCATCGTCCATATCGTGGTGGGTTATGCTCGTTGTCGCTCTCGTTATGCTGGTCATATTTGTTTTGCTCGTCATCGTGCTTAAGATCCCAATTTGAGCCCTGATTGCATTCTCGAAGAGAACAAATGCTGGCAGAAGCGAGCAAAGCTACCAAGCTCATCAAATACTGTACCGTACTCAGCCTATCGACAAACAGTGCTCATGCCCAACTTGTGTGTGTCTAGCTTTCACGAGTAGCAATGCTAAGCATACCGGCACAGACCCAACCAGTCCTGAGGCCAACTTAAACATTCAAGATTTGTACAAGCCATCGCCGCACGAGTCTACACCCGCAGATGCGAGGTGAAGCGGTGGGCAGTCAAGGCATCTCGTGTTCCCTTTTAATTTAACAATAAATGGATCCCGACTCAGAACGCAACAACCCTTACCACCATATTTTCCTGAGCGTCAACCTTGGGTACCTCGCGAAGACCTCGAAATTAGAGCTAGACACGACCGATGGCTATTTCCAAAATACCTTAGCACAACCCTCTACGCCAGTACAATCTTCCCCGCAGGAGTCAGGACTTAGAGCCGACCAAGAATATCAGCAAGCTGGTCTGGAAATGGGATCAAAACGAGCAGCATCAAGCAAATGGCCCCTACCCCGATAGCCGTGCGCGTGCCATCAGGCTCAAGCACTTCGTTCCTGCACGGGTAATCACTTTCGCGCTGCAAGAACACGGCGACGAGCCCCCAAAACAAAAGCAGCGGCGAGTTGCCCAGTAGAGATGAGAAGCCTTGCAGCAACAAAGTAATCGCCGTGGCACGGCTCGCGACCGCCCGCCCGTACAAAGCCTGCATGATCCGGCCCCCGTCCAACCGGCCGATCGGCATCAAGTTTAACGCATTGGCCAACAAGCCCGTGTACCCCACGACTGCTAGCGGATGTACAGCGATGGTGGCCTGTTCTCTCAAACCCGCTGGCAAGATGATATCCGCGAGCGAGCCGACCAAAATGGAGGCGTGGAAGAGCGCAGACGGCACTTGCGGAAACCAGTCGGCGATCTGCCCGCTGCTCGTAATCAACAGTCCCGCGATCAGAGCGGAGATACTGGCGACGGACCCCACGAGCGGTCCTGCAACCGCGACGTCGAACAAGTCCTTCCGCAGGTTGGGGTAGCTTTCGAGCGGGGTGATGGTGCCGTAAGTGCCTATCTGCAAACTGGGAATAAAGTAAGGCAAGCCGATCTTGACGTCGCGCATGGAGGCAGCGACGCGGTGCCCCGCCTCGTGCATGAAGGCGAGGATGATGGCGCCGATGGAAACGGGCAAAGTCAGGATGGCCTCGTCGAGGCTGCCCTTGGCGATCTGGGTGATGACCTCCGGCGTGAGACCGAAGATTCCGATGCCATAGGAGAAGGTGGTGGCGCAGGCGACCAAGCCCATGAGGACGGAGACGACGTAGGAAAAGGAATTGGTCTGGTTGGGCATGGCGGCGGCCGGCAAGGCAACAAGCACGGGGCGATTGTCCTCGCCGTCGGGCCCATCCTTGGGATCGATGAGCAGGAACAACCTGATGCGCTCGGCAATGCCCTCTTCTTTGGCCATGTCCTCCAACGTAGCAAGCAATTTATCCGCCGGTTGCCTCATGTTACCCCGAAAGACGACGCGCTCATCAAATGGGGAGCGATCAACCTCGGTGCAGAAAAAGGTGTTAATGCCACACAGCTTGTCCCTAATGACATTAATATCGCTCTCACTGACCCTCGGAAACTCGCTCCCCAGCAAATCGGACAGGGTGGTGGTAAGCGGCTGCAGGCCCTGGGACTTTCCCTGCTTTACAACATTGACAACCTGGGGCGATGAATTCTTCCTGTCGTAGGGGTTTGGCTCCCCCACGTGCTCCTTGGTGCCGGCCATGTCCTTCATGTTCTTGGCCTTATCGAGCTCAAGACGCTTGCGATCGGCCTTGAGTTCTGCGCGTTCGAACTCGAGACGGGCCTTGGCGGCCATCAGCTCGAGGCGCTCGGCCTCTATGCGTGCCTTTCGCGCGCGCTCCTTGCGCTGCTCGGGGGATTCAGACGACTCGGAGGATTCGGGGATGTGAGGGAGCTGGGATGGGAGGGGGGTCTGCTCCTCCTTTGCGACGCAGATGGGGCGGCGCCGCACGACGGCGCGACGCGGGCGCCGGATGAGACGGGGAGGGCGCAAGGCCACCACGGGGAGGAAGGCCAGCGAAGGCATGGCGCGGTAGATCTAGCGGAGAAGGGGTGGTAAGGATGGGGACGGCGGAAGAAGGGTGGGGAGGTGGAGGTGTTGGAGATTGTCGGATTGAGGGATGTGGGGTGTCAAAAGGCGAACGGCTGCGATTGGATGGAGGTGCGTTCTAGAATATCTGTACAGTAGGGGCACGAGGAGATTTTCACCTTTGCAAAAACTCTTGCTTACAGTTGCTTTCCTTGACGCGAATTGCCTTCTTCTTCCTCTGCACCTCTGCACATAGTATGTGCCACAGACCAACCTACAACGCGCCATGCGTCCCCACCGCTGAAGAGATGGATCGCCGCCCCGCGCGCCCGCTCCCGCGCGTGCTGCGCCGCCCGCTAGCGCTGGTGGCGCGCCTCGTCGCGCGAGACGGTCTGTACGTGGCGCTATCGCTGGGGCTGCTCCTGGTCGCCTCGCTGGTGCTGTACGCGCTGTCCCCACCGCCTTTGCTCTACCCGCCGCTCGCCGACCGCGCGCCCAACCTCAACGCCGCATCCGGGACCACCCCGCATCTGGAAGGGTTGCTGCAGCGCGTCTCGCCGAACGCGTCCAGGCTCGTCGTCGCGGTCGCCGTCAACTACGCCTTCCGCAACCTCGCGCTCAACTTCGTGTGCAACCTGCACCGCCTGCGCATCCCCAACTACATCGTCCTCGCCATGGACCGCCCCGTGTATCGGTACCTGTCCGCGCGCGGCGCGAACGTCTTCTTCTACGAGGACACCCATCGGAGGCGCTTGCTTGCGGACGCGGGGGGCGACAGGTTCGGGTCCTCGGCGTTTGTCGAGACGTCGCGCCGCAAGTCCTTGCTCGTGCTCAAGGTCCTGCGCCTCGGCTACTCGGTCATCTTCTCAGACGTTGACGTCGTGTGGATCAGGGACCCTATCCCGCACCTCGTCGCGCACCCCTTCGATTTTGTCATGCAGTCGGACCGCAACCATAACGATCGTGACGCCGCTCTCAACTACAACCTTAATTCCGGTTTTTATCTCGCCCGCGCCTCGTCGCGCTCGGTCATGGCTCTGAGGGCCATCGTCAAGTACTCGGAAGCCATACGACGCTCGGAGCAAAAGGCCTTCAATTACGTCCTGTGCGGCGCGTTTAAGGACCACCACGCGGGGCCCGGCACACGCGTCGGCGCCCAGGAGTGCACTTATCGAAAGGGCGGCGCCACCGTCATAGCCCTGCCGCTCGACGACTTTCCGAACGGCAGCAACGATGCCATTTGGCTCAACCGCTCCACCCCGTTTGTCAGCGCTTATCCAAGCGTTGTCGCCGTGCATGCAAATTACGTCGAGGGGATGGCAAACAAGGTCGACCGCATAAAACGAATTGGCTTTTGGCTTCATTCCGAAGTATCCGCACGACCGGACGGGTGTCTCCTACCACCGCAGCGGTAGCGTCGTCTCCTGAAACAAAAACTGTAAACTAACGAGTCTAGCCCTGCGCGCAATTCACCCTGTCAAAACTTCTAGTCGATGTAGAACAAACTGCTTCTGTCCCCGCCCCGTCGGAACCGACGCAGCACCTCGCCCGCAGTATCCGAATGCACGCTCATCGCCACGCAGTCTAGATCTTCAAACCGCAGCACGCCCTCCTTCTCGTAGTCCAAAATCGTCTCTGCCACCTCCATCTTCACTTGCTCTTCCGTGTACAATGGGTATGGGTTGATGATCGGTAGCCGCGCGCCTGTAAACTTTGCCCCGATTTCCATCAACTTGCCAGGCACGGGAATGAACCTCCCCTCGCGCTTAATCGACGTGCACACGAAATCGTACAGCTCCCGGATCGTCATCACGTCCGGCCCTGCCAGTTCGAGCGTCTTCCCTCCGAACCGCTCCGGATCGCGCGCGGCGGTGACTACCACGCTCGCCACGTCGTTCACCCACACCGGCTGCGCAAGCGATTCGCCGTCATCCGCAAGCGGAATGGCGTACATCTGCATGACATTGATCGCCATGCGAGTCAAGAAGCGGTCCTCCGTGCCAAACATATCCGTGGGCCTCACAATGGTGGCGTCCGGAAAGACGTCGCGCACGCAGTCCTCGCCCTCGATCTTGGTGGCCAGCCAGCGGCTGGAGGTGTCTTTGGCCGGGGCGGCCGCCGACACATGGACAAAGTGCTCGATGCCTTCCTCGCGGGCGATCTCGGCCAGCCGCCTCGTCGCCGAGACATGGACGTCGGGAAACTTGTAGTTGAGCGTCTCGTAGTGCTTGCCTATGAGGTTGACGAGGACGGTGGAGCCGCGTATGGCGTCGCGGACAGAGTCTTCGTCGCGCAGCTCGAACGGGACCGGGACGACTTGGCCCAGGTCGCCCATGACCTTGAGATGGCGCGAGTAGAGCTCGTCGCCGCGGTACGGGACGGTGACCTGCGATCCGATGCGCCCGAGTTGGTTGGTGACGTAGCGGCCCAGGAAGCCGGTCGCGCCGAAGACAGTGGCGGCAATGCCGCTGACGGAGGAGCGGCCGCCGCTGCCGCGCGCGGCGAGCGAGGCGGCAGCGGTGAGAGTGGTTTGCGCCATAGAAGGGGTGAGCGGGGAGGCACAGCCGAGTCGGTGGCCCTTCTCCGTCGGCAGAGAGTCAGGAAAAGGAGGGTCGCGATGGATGCGGAGATGGAGATGGGGGCACCAAGCAAGCTGGGCTGGTGTAGGGGAATTTACTGGTCGACAGGACAGAATTTCGACCCACTTTGCCCAATCTGTGCGATGCACCTTGCACACCATTTCCGACTCAAAAAAACAAACAAACAGACAAACGCGGACCTTGGTCTGCCCGAGACCTTGTCATACGCTGCAGACGAATTTTGTACAATCTCGACATAAGCTTCGCCTTGCCACCGCCATGACGTCTTCCAGCACCTGCTGCGATCTACGGGTCTCAATGCAAGGGGCGTCGACGGCGCAGTCAAGAGACGGGCTAGCAATGACGTTGACTCGTGGTTGAAACCACGTCTTTTACGGATGCATGTTTATACAACTCTCTCTTTAGAATACGCTGCTCCGCCGTCAAACACTACGAAAACGATGCATATCACACAGTAACGACGACGCCCACCGTCCCTCCACAGGACGCCTCCATCTGTCAATTCAGAAAAGCGTTTACAATGCCCATTCAGCTCCCGTGCAACGAAAGTCACGCGTGCAAAACCGGCCCGCCACACACAATCCCCCTCGCCCACTTACCTGAAGGTCAAGAATTGGTTCGATTCGCAGACGGTGAGCACGCCGAGTGCGTCAACGCCGAGGTCGAACCAACCCTTCAGAGGGCCCACCGCAGGACCCGCGCCGTCGGATGTGAGAAGGATCCCGCAGCGTCCGCAAAACTACAG